ACTCAATGATTCAGCATGCTTCCATTAATGAAAACACGTGGTATCAACAAAAAATTCAAAGCAGAAAATAATTCGTTCACCAAAGGGTTAAGGTTTATAAGGCTGTACTAAAGAAAACATATAAAAACCACAAACTATAAAGAAAATATTTTATTAAGTTCAATGAGATTCAAATTAAAATTTTCTTAATACATGAGACACCATAAACAAAATTAAAAGGCCAACCACAGATGGAGAGAAGTTATTTGAATTCATAAAACCAAGAAAATATTGTCAGCCAGACTAAACAAAGAATATCAATAATTCAGTTAGAAAGAAATGAGCAAACAGAAAAAACAGATACATATACGAGCAATTTGCAAAGTTAGTGATCTAAATACACCAATTAAGTGACAGAGATTGTCAAAGTGGATAAATAAAAGAGGCCCCAACTATATGTTGTCTATAGGAAACAAACTTTAAATATAAACACTGAGATAGGTTAAAAGTAAAGGGATGAATCACCTTAAGATACTGAAAAAAAGAAGAGCCAATGAAACCTAAACCAAATCGAAGGAAGGAAATAGAGATTAGAGTGAGGAACTAATGAAGTAGAGAACAGAGAAATAATGGAGAAAATCAATGAAACCAAAAGCTGGTGCTTTGAAAAGATCAACAAGAATAACAAACCTTCAATTAAATTGACCGAGAAAAAAAAGAGAGAAGACTCAAATTACTAGAAATAAGAAATGAAAGAGGGTTCATTGCTATAGTCCTTACAGAAATAAACAGGATTAGAAAGGAATTCTTTATAATAACATCCTAATTGATGGTGAAACTGGATGCTTTTTCTCTGTGATCAGGAACAAGACAAGAATGACTGCTCTCAGTACTCCTATTAAGCACTGTACTGGAGGTTCTAGACAGGGCAATTAGAAAACAGAAAGGAAAGGCATCCAGATTGGAAAGAAAGAAGTGAGTGAAACTATATTTGCAGGTAGTATGATCTTACTTATAAAAAAATCCTAAGGAATCCACTAAAAAACTATTAAAGCTTATAAACAAATTCATGGAGGTTACACAATACAAGATCTATATGCAAAAATCAATTATATTTTTATATGTTTGCGGTGAATAATTCAAAATGAAATTAAAAAGCAATTTTATTCATAGTAACATCAAAAATAATAAAATACTTAGGAATACCTTTAACAGAGAAGTGCAAAAC